CGTGCTCCCCTTGCCGACCTGTCTTATTATTATTATTATTATTATTATTATTATTATTATTATTATTATTATTATTATTATTATGTTGTTGTTGTTGTTGTTGTTGTTGTTGTTGTTGTTGTTGTTGTTGTTGTTGTTGTTGTTGTTGTTGCTGTTGTACAAAATTTCTCAAGTACCCGCGACGGATGAGTCCCTCTATCTCGTCCTAGAGATTATTACAATGTTCGGTACTATGACCGTGGTCTCTATGGAAACTACAGTACAAGTTTTTGTTCCTCTCGTTGGGGTTCCCTTTTAGGCGAGGTGGTCACTTTACGTACGGGGCGTCTTTGATCGTCATCAAGATCTCAGCCCGCTTCGCGTTTAAGGGTGTGTAGTCCGTCTGAGCTGCTAAGGGAGCTTAGAACGGCTGGCTCGGCTTCGTCTCCCGAGCTGGATCTTTCCTTCTTCTGTCATCTGGGTTGGAGGGCTCGCCTTCCCTCTTCCTTTTCTCGATCCCGCTTTCAGTCCTTTGGTTGATCTCCTCCTCTGTTCTCATGAATTTATCCGCGAGGTTGAGGAATTCAGCTACGGTCGCGGGCTGGCTAACTACCATGTGCCACTTGAACTCCTTGTGTGTCACTCCTCTCTTGGCTGCTGCGGGATCCAGTCGCGGTATCTGCAAGCACGCATCATTGAACTGCTTGATGTAGTCTCGGATGGACTCTCCTTCTCTCTGGACTACTCCGAAGATGCTTTCCTTGGTTTTGGGGCACCGCTTGCTGGTAACAAAGTGCGCGGTGAAGACCTGCACGAACTAGTCCAGCTTCTTACTGATCCGAGGGCCAAGTTTCTGTACCAGGTGCGGGCCACCCCCTGAAGGTGGTAGTGAAGGCCACGCACATGCATGATTCACTGGCCCTTGCCAGGTGGATTTGGGACTGGAAGGCATCGACGTGGTCGTTGGGGTCGAAGGACCCATCATACTTGTCCAAAGGGGGGAGTTTGAAATCTCTGGGCATGGGGACTGCAAGGATTTCTGATGAGAGGGGGGAAGGGACAAAGAGAATAGGGGCGGCTTTTACCTCGTTCGAGCTTGTCTCTTCTTTACCTCAGAGCTCAGGCAGGATGCGGGTGGCAGTTCGACGACTTCGCCGGCGTCTTCGTTGCTGAGTGGGCCTGGTACTGGCACTGCTGGCCTCGGTGTTGCCGAGCTC